ATTTTTCACTGAAAATTGAAACTACTAGAAATAGTCCATACTTGTTTCAGTATGAAATCTGACCATGTTGCTGGTTGCACCTTTTTTTAGAGTTCTGTATACCCGTTAAGATTATGGTTAGATGTGTTTGTACAAAATAATGGTTCTCCAGATAATCATCCACATGACTTTTGACTTTATATGCATTGTATTGTAACTCAGCTCATGCAAGTTGTGTTTTTATGCAGCTGCTGAACTTTATGATTTTGATGACGACAAGGTAATGAATAAGTTTCTTGTTCATTGTTTACCACATATCTGAAGTTCAGTTCAATTAATCATCCACTTGATGTTATTGAAATATTTGTTCATATTTAGCCCAAAGATTCATGACAATCGAACCTCTCTTTTGTGAAGGAGGAAGACAAGCCAGATTTTAAAAAGCTAGTCAGCGATAACTGGATAGAACCCCCTAGACGAGAAAGAAAACGAAAGTAAGTTTGATGTCTGTAGTTTACTATTATTAGTTATTTAATTTTAATGATACTAAATTTGGTTAATTTGTTTCTGTAGCTACTCTGAGTCTGAATATTTTAAGCAAGCACTTCGCCAAGGTGGCCCAGCAAAACCTAGGGAACCGAGAATTCCCCGAATGCCAAACTTGTATGCCTTTTCAGTTGCTCATTTCACTCGATCAAGCCTAAATTTTAGATTCTTGGTCTTGGTACTTAATGGGGTGTTTGTCTATGTCAGGCATGATTTCCAGTTCTTCAACACGCAGAGGCTCAATGAATTGTATGAAAAGGAAGTCAAATATCTCGTGGTAATTTCTCAACCAGAGCTGTATTTTTTGTTTCACCTGCACTGGAGTGCCGGCCCAGACTCCAAACTTGTTTCATAAGTCATAATTTACTTTCTTTTTACTTATTTCAGAAGTGGGACCAATCTATACCACATAATTAATTTCTTCTATTATTTTCATTATAGCTTTTCATGGTCATGTAGATCCTGTAGTGTTAAAGAATTTGATTATGGGTGCATATATATTATTTATAAGTCTGATACTCTGTGGGACTGCTGTATGCATATCGTAGAGTATCACACCACTTATATTTTAAAGATGAACATAATAAGTCCCACCTTTGTCTAATGTTTACCTTCAAAAAAATTATTCAGCAAACTAATCAGAAAAAGGATACAATTGGCGATGGTGATGGTGAGGATGAAGGTATTACCAAGTCTTACATTTCTACTTGTACTGCAAGAAGTATGTGATTGTGCTGATCAATGCATTTTTTGCCATTTAGAAGTGGAACCTTTGACTGAGGAAGAGCAAGAAGAGAAGGAGCAGCTACTGGAAGAGGTTTGGATATACTTTAAGTCTTTTATTTGGACCTGGTTCCCCCCCATAATTATCTTCCATCTTCTGTGCAATTTAGGGCTTTTCAACATGGACGAGGAGGGACTTCAACACATTTATTCGAGCTTGTGAGAAATATGGTCGTGATGACATAAAGAGTATAGCCTCTGAAATGGAGGGGAAAACGGAAGAGGAAGTTCAGCGTTATGCTGAAGTTTTCAAGGAAAGATACACAGAATTGAATGGTATATGCTCAAAAACCCTATCCATTTCCATTTTTCTCTTTCTGTCCTTTCCTCCATGCTTTCTACAAATTAGATAAATGCATCCAGTGTTCAAAGGGTTTCCTTGATGAGCTCACAATTTATGGCATGTGAGGTTCGTTTTGTCTAATCCACATAGTATCTTCTTTCCTGTACCAGATTATGACAGAATTATTAAGAACATTGAGAAAGGAGAATCAAAGATCTCTAGGAAGGATGAGATTATGAAAGCCATTGCGAAAAAGATGGACCGTTATAAGAACCCATGGTTGGAGTTGAAAATTCAGTATGGCCAGAACAAAGGGAAGCTGTACAATGAGGAATGCGACCGTTTTCTGGTAATGCCACACCACAGTTCTTACCAAATAACTGCACTGTTTGGCATGACTAATGAACTCTTCCTTGTGTACAGTTGTGCATGGTGCACAAACTTGGCTATGGAAACTGGGAAGAACTGAAGTCGGCCTTCCGCATGTCTCCCTTGTTCCGTTTTGATTGGTTTGTGAAGTCCAGAACCACGCAAGAGTTGGCTAGAAGGTGCGACACTCTCATTCGTCTAGTGGAGAAGGAGAACCAAGAGTGTGATGAGCGTGATAGACAGGCCAGGAAAGATAAGAAGGTTGGTTCCTGTTCTACTACCCACTTCCCGCCCTTTACTTTGGTGTTCAAGATCTCTTTGCTCTGGGTTATCCTTAACTCCCTTTCAAGAAAATATAATATTCTGCAATTTGCACTAATCATTCTGTGTCTTGCAGAACATGACACCAACAAAGCGTCCTTCGTCAAGTAGTCCAATGGACTCTCCCATGCAGACCCCCTCCAAGAGGGGGCGGAGGGACGGCAGTGCACCCTCGGTAAGTGATTAGATGCTACCTTGTTCTTCTGTCTTCATTGTATGCTGTGGTTGTCCGAGTAAATTAGGGACTCACTTGCTGCTGTTGTTCCTTCATTTGTTGCAGGGAAAGAGAAGGCGGCGATGATCTAGTGTTCCCTGAGGAACAAACTCGTTTGGCGGTTGACAACCAAAGGGAAGCCCCAGACGTACCCGTTTATCTCATCCAGTGTGTTTGCGCCTAGTTATAGTAGCCCAAAACGTAATAGAGGTCACCCTCAAGTCTGAACCAGTTAAAAGAGAACTCCGAAGTCTGAACTCCTATGTTACATAGATTCCAGTGACATGGTGAACTTATGTCGGTTAATGTACTGTCCCTGTGTTTGTGGATCAATTAGGTTGTTAAGAACCGATTGAAAGTTACACTCCATTGACTGTATGCTGTTTTGCTTGTTGAGCCTTGTTAGTTGTGTTGCCATCTGCTTTCATGGTCTGGACACTCGTGGTTGGACCATCTGAAGTCGGAACAGCAATTTGTTGTTCAGATGAGAAAAGTTATCAAGGAAGTATGCTTGGCTTGGCTACTTCCTGGTCACAGTATTTAGACAAGCCAATAAAAGCAAACCTGGGAATAGTTTGACATCCAAACTAAATCCAAGCCAAACTATAGGACTGCATGTCCATCATTGAAACCAAATCAAACCAAACTTTATTGACTAGAGTCTAGACCAAACCAAATTGTATGAGCTTTTCATCCAAACCAATCCAAACTGTCTCCTATTTTTGGATGGAATCCACAGATTCAAACCATAGACAGATCCATATGCACATGCGTATCTAACGACTGGTACTCTAGTAAGAATCCTGTTACACAGGGGAGGTAGAAGTAGAACAAGCTGATTTCACACGCCATCACGCTGCTAATGACGTCAAGCGTCGCCAGCCTACCTTGCGCAGTTGCTTGTCTCGCCGCAGTCGCGCGTCTGCGGCGTCGACGTCCCATCATTGCCATGCACGTTGGGCCATGCGGTGCCGCCAGGACCTCATCTCCTGGAGCTCCAGGATGGACGCCGCTGTCGTCGCACTCCGTGCTGTTGTGCTGCGCCTAGACACCGAGGGCTTCGACCGCCGGGGACGCGCTCGCGGCAGCCTCCGCCTCTGCTCGGTGCGAACACCGGGACAAAAGTGAACTCGCAGCATGCGCTAGGCCTGCGTTGTGCGCAAGCGCGCCCCCATCCCGAAATACAGTTTGGTCGCTGGATTTGGTCTTTGACCGTGGGTTGAAACAGTTTGAAACCATTTTGTTTGTGTCCAAACGGAACCAAACTAATCCAACAATACGCAAAACCCAGACCACACCAGATTACGCTAGGGGCTCAGCCCATTCAATCCAATCCAAAGACAGTTCTGTAGGAAAACCAAACTGAAACTAAGGTTTCAATCCAAACTATTCACAGGTTTACCACCAGCCATCAATTGGTTGGCTACCGACTCAGTTTGCCAAGCACACAGAACTTGAACGATTTTTGGCAGGTTTTGAGTTGCCTTGGTGACCAATACCTTGCTCTACCGACATTAGGCCATGACTAAAATTTTAACATTGGGACATTTTTATTTTCAAGCAATCGGCAAGACCTCTGCCCAGCCGACGCTGAAACTGCCGAGAAAACACGAGGCATTGCCAGCTAGGTATGGCAACGCTGACGAGTGCCGACCAAAGCTGAAACTATTTCACCCGGAGAGCTCTAACCCGAATGACAGGAGGTGAAGGGGCACCTCACAAGTCACAACACCTCCAATTAGGGCAACGACGTCCTAGGATGTCATTGTCGCCGGCATTAACCGAAGTTGGTGCGAGATTTTCACCCGGAGCTCACCAAACCCCACATCGCTGCGTTTTGCCCACCAGATACCGAGCCACAATAGCCATGCGTGCCCAACAGCTCACCGCCACCAGCTACCACCACAAGAGCCGAGATGTCAAGTGGAGGAAATGGCAGCAGGATCACAGCAACACATTCAGCAAGGAGATCGTTGCACACATGCGACACTGCTGCAGCCTCCGGCCACAACCAGAGAAGGATTTCTCCTGTCCTACGCCGCACTCCAGCCACCCTGGATCCGCAAGCTCGCCGCCGCCCCACCACCAAGCACCCTGCACCACAGCCTCCCGGAGCTGGAACAATGCACAGGTAACGCCCCGATCATGCTCCAGCACTGCCACATAAATTTCAACCAACCATGCCTCAAGTGTTAACAGTTTGAACAAAACAAACAGAAGCGGCCTCTCACTAGACTGCTGATTCTTATCTCAACTCAAACACACAAGGAACTTCCGTTTTGTATATTATCGTTCTCATCCATTTTTCTTGACAACAAAGCAGTATAATATGAACTCCGAACAGGCCTGGTGATCGTGAGCATGAGCCCTCCCCAACTCTTTATAAAGTTCATCCTATCTAACTAAATACCAATGTGGAAACGAAGTGGCCAAAACTGATATACTGCCATGTCCGAGCCCTAACTAAAGCTCGCTACTGTTCTCAACTTGCTGTCGTAGCATCGCTCACATATGGAGCTTATTGAGTTCTGAACTCGCCGTCGAAGCGTCGCCCACGTGTCTCGTGTTCCTGTGGGCTTCAGGGTCCTCCCTGGAGAGGATCTGAACAGCAGGCCGCGCTCGCGCTGCTGCTCCAGGGCTAGAGTTCACCACCGCAGCATTTGGCCTAGCTGAGCACACAGGGATAGAAGTTCGGACCGTAACAGGGGCCGCCAACCAAGGGGGCCGCTGCTGGTATAACAAACCTGATGAACTCATAGGAGTCGCAGCTCCATATCTCGCTGGAGCTTGCATGTCCAAAGGCCATAACTCTGGTGATGTTGCCCTGCTGAACGGAAGATTACTTCTGTGGATGGGCTCGCCGTGCTGAACAGGACTAGAATAACCCTGTCGTTGGACAGGTCTTTGTACAACAGATGATCCAGCATGAGACAATGATGGCTTTGGTGGCTGTTCCGCTGGCTTCTTTGACTCTTTGTCATCTTGATTTGGTTCCAACTTCTGTGACAGTGGATGTGCTGTGGAGCTTGACAGAGTTTGAGAAGCTTTATTCTCTTCCACGGAGGCAGCACTACTCTCTGTATACACCTCTTTCCCATTTTCAGGCCATTGTTGAACCTGACTTGGACCGACATTTTCTGGAGTGCTAGAGGAATCTAGAGCAGTGTATTCGGATAAAACTGCGGCGTCAGGAAGCTCAACTGTCTCAGTATACCCTTGTCTTTCCCTGTGCACTGTGTGCACAGTAACTGGCAATGGACTTCTTGATACATAGGTGGCAGGGTAAGGCGAGAAGTACCGAGGAAGGACAGGAGCAGTTTCAGGAAAACATGGAAGAAGAGCTAAAGCATCTTGGCTGGCTGGCACGGCAAACTGCCTTCTAGGTGGAGGAGGGTACATGGAGAGCATAGTTGGTGGCGGTTGAAACCTTGTGTTGCCCATAGCTTGAACCATCGGAAGATGGGGCTTCTGCTGTGCTGCTTGCACTTGGTTCCACATATGGTACATTGCTTGCTCTGGTGCAACATTTGGGTACATCTGATTTTGTAAGTGTGACCCGTAAAATGACACATGTGGTTTAGGATAAGATCTCCGAGATTGTGGGCGGTTATTGCTTTGCTGTTTTTCCTTTTGATGTGATGCCTTGCCTTCATTTTTTCGGTCCAAGTTTTCAAGAGTGCGGGTAACTGTGACCTGTTCCTGCTCCTTGTCATGATCGGATGGAGAAGATAAAGATGCTGCCTCACCTACTGATGCTGCCTCACCTACTAGAGGCACTGTTAGGAAAAAATTGAAATGTTAGGAAACAGCTGAGTGAAACCGACATGATAGTACAACAAAACTTAATAAGAGCAAACACTATGGAGTTAATACAACCAGATGCATCAACTAGCAGATATGCTAGTACAATCATATAGTAAGAAACTGAAGGTGGTAAGAAGGCGAGAAAATACTCACGCTGCTTCAATTCAGACCAGGCCACCATAGCTGCATTTTTTTGGGCTTGTTTCTTGGTCTTGCCAGCATTGCCAGTGAAGATCCTTCCTGCTAACTCCACTGTACACGTGAACGTTGGTGTATGCCCTGGTCCAGATCTAATAGTAGTGTACATAGGCAGTTTTAAACCGGCCCGATGAGCAGTTTCTTGGAGCAGGTTCTTGTAGATCCCAGTTTCATCCTGTGGAGTGAAACATCATTAGCACCTCAGCTTTGAGGACATTCCTGAGGTTGTGTTGCCAAACATGAGCTCACCACAGTTGCAGTATAAACCAGAAATTATAATGTAAAGGTAACAAATTATGTACTAATAAGCACACTGACAAAAGAAGTATAAAGAAAACATTCATATAACCTCTAGTCCAAATGCTGAATCTAGATGACATTAATGAACATGGACACACGGTAGAGATGTACTACAAGGGTAGAAAACTACATACCACATGACAACCTTAAATATCCCATCTACTTGGATTTTTTTTTACTGCACCAGCAGGCATGAAAATGGGACAACTGGCAAGTCAACATCAGATATCATAAAAGAACTGAACCTTCCCAACCAATACATCATAAATAATACTGTTTCGCTTTGACTTATTGCAGTGGGAATTATCAAGAACAGTGCATATTAAATATACACTGTCATGGAAGTATCTTAGGTAGATCCACAGCACAGATGAAATTTATTGTTTTTTGACTGAAGGAGAGGCTGACTTGCTGTATGGCTATACATGTACCAAGTGAATTAAAAAAATGTCCATCGTCATAATAACTAAAACGAATGGTACTACAATATTGCAGATGGAAAGGGCAAAAGCTGTGACAGCACATTAAGCAAATACTCCCTCCGTCCCAAAATAAGTGTCTCAGCTTTAGTACAACTTTAGCACAAAGTTAAAATAAAGTTGAGACGCTTATTTTGGGACGGAGGGAGTATGAGTTTGTGCAATGTAGGAAAGAATTGCAAGAGCATTTTCGCAGAAGGTTAAGATAAAGGATGATGGATAATAATGCCAGTCACTTGCATATTAAGTATTTGAAACCTACAGTTTTATTTGTCTTTGTCCACATTAAAATAAGCTGCAAAAAATTGGATAATCAACAACAGGTGATGTTTGTTATTTCAGCTAAAGTGAAGGAAACGAGATTCCAATGTTAATGTGGCCAGGATAAGCAATATCTAGGGGCATCAACAAAACTGACCAGGACTTTTGCAGCAAGCGATGATGAAGGCCCCCTCTTGGACAACTCATTGAGCGCTACCTCAGCTGCCGCATGCTCTGCCTGCCGCAAGGTGGGATAGAACCCCGGGCTCTCAAATGATTCCCCATTAAAAGTAACCGTGGCCTTAAACCGGGGCGCATGATCTGGCCCCTCGCGGATGCACGCATAGGACGGCAAGTTGAAGCAGCTCCTCTGCGCAAGCTCCTGCAGCTGGTTCTTGAACATGCCTGCATCCACCTCAAGAATCAAAGATGGACCCACTAAACTACATCACCATTGGAGCCAGGCTCATAAGGGGTGAGATCATCACAGCAACCCCCTAAACAATATGAAAATTTGGAGAAAACATTGAACAGCGGCGTGAAGAAATGCATACCTTCGAAAAGGAAGTATCAATCAAGCAGTGTATGAAGCTATGTTTAGAGTTGAGAAGAGCTGCTTCTGGCCTTAACCCTTGCTGTGACGCCCCCTTGTTGCAGTAGATAAGAAGAGGCCTCAGATTATTAATAGCCAGTGCTGTACTCCCAGTCCTGTAGAGGAACAAATAAGTTCCGGATCGAATGGAAGCAATAAACCTAATGCTGGCGTTCGTTTGCAGAGGCAACCATACGAACAATGAGTAAAAGTAGTGGAAGCAATAAACTGCAGTCCTGAGAGGATTCATTGGTACTTTTATGAGGATTCACTGGTACTAGAGCAGAGCAGGGGAGGCAATGAAGCGCAAGGACAACAGTAGCAGCTGATTTCCCATTAAAAAGACAAAAACAAAACAAGAGCAGCTGATTCAGCTCGCTGCCTCGTCTAATTAATGCACTGCCACAGTAAATCTAAGAAAGATATCGCACCCAACGAGTAAAACAAATCCAGAAACCTCTGATTAACTGACACGCAGAGGGAAAAGAAAGAGAACGCATGGAATGATATGAACCAAACATTTGGGACTGGCTAAGAACCTAATCGTATCCAATCGGAGAGGCGCCGGAGCCAAGAAAGAAATCCCGCCCCGCCGCGCCGGCGAGATCGACCAAACCACATCGGCGGGAACCCGACCCCAGATCGAACCAAGACCCACGAAAACAAGAGATGAGCAGACCAACCTGCGCCGAGAGACCGCCGACTCTCCCTTCACCTCGACCCCTCTCCCTTCCAACCGTGGCAGGAAGCGAAAGGGAAAAAGGCAGCGAAGAGACGAACCACCGACAGCCGCGACAAAAATCTCTCCTTTCTGTTAGCTGCTGCCTCCGCGTGGTCGCTTGGTTTGGCCGCGACTGCGAGGGTGGGCTCAGCTACGCCATTAGGCTAGGGCGGCGGCGCTGCAGCTGTGGGCGGCGGCCATTAGCAGCGAGATTGGGAAGGGAGGCGTGTTGGTTTCCGGTGCTTTTCGTCTGCATCCTACTCCTCCCACTCCTTTTCTCGGTTTTTTTTCTCCTTGGGAGAACGACGAGACTCCTCCGAGCCCGTGTGTCATGTGCACGCAACGGCGATCATTATTGCCGGCCACGAGGAAAACAGCGGTTAACGTCGCTTGGTTAAGGCATGGTGGAGTGGCTGATTAAGGCATGTTTGGTTGGCCATTAATATTGCTCCACTTTCATTGAAATATTTACAAAGAAAATAAAAGATCTTCAGTATTATTCGAAATTTGGAAGAATTGCGTGGAAGGACCGGACCATTGAGCAACTCGAAAAAGCTCATATTCGATTACATAAATCGAATTGAAAGTTTACCTCGTACTACATGCCTTTTTTCTTTGGCATGAAGAGGTGTCAAACCAAAAGGTGGTGATCCAAAGCAATTCACACCCGTAGAGGAATAGAGTTTTTTTTAACCCAAAAAAACTCCATTCCTCATGTATCTCAAGTTCTCAACTTGCACAGAATGTGATGATTTAGTCCTGAACTAGCAAAACCCAACTTCATCATCCCTCAACTTGCACTGGATTTGACGATTTGGTCTTGGGCCTATCACAACGCGACAATTGGCAGCCAGGTGGTCGGACCGGTCGTCGTGTGCACTTCTGCAAAAAGCACCCTGCCATTTTATCTAATCAACCCACACTACAAGGCACCTGAATTAAATTTGTCTCAAATCCCATTTCGTTCGAGAATACAAGTGTTGTCCTGTCGGGGGCGACAGGAGTTCACGAGCTGGCAATTGCTTGATGGTGACATCAGCTTTGAGGGCGTCGTCGCCGGAGTTTACCGGCGGCGTGGAAGCGCCTGCATCCGCTCATCTCGTCCGCCCGTTCTGCGTCTTCCCTCGTTATTATTGTGAGTAGTTTTTGTCCCTCTCCTCTGCTTTGCTCTGTCGCTCGTCGCTTGCCGGTTCCGCCGTTCACATCAGCTATAATCGGTGCGATTCGAGCTTGATTCAAGGCCGTCTAGTGGTGTTTCTTGCGTAGGGTCATGTAGGGCGCAATAGAGCTAGGGTTTCGGCCGACGATTTTAGGCTTGGGTTTGGCATGCGAGCTAGGGTTTTTGGCGGATAAAGTAGATGTTCCGGACTTTTAAGTTGGGGTTTAGTTTTGTTGTTAGTTGTTGATTCAGGTGTCCTGTAGTCGTGAATCTCTTTGTGTTGTTAAATGAACCTCTTTTTTTGTCTTGAAGATGTTTTTGTTAGTTATTCTGATGCTAAATTTCTGAACCTTTTAGTTCACTTATGCTAATGCTATATGCAGTGCAGTTTCGGTTAATTTAATGGGCGTGCTCGTGCTAATGCTGTAATTCATCTACGGGCATGTTTATACAGAAGAATTGCTGCACTTAGTGTGCTCTCTGTTGTTGTAGTAAACATAATTTTTTTAGTTAACTGAATATTTGATGCAGTGATAAGTTCCTACAATGGAGTCTTTTGAAATTAGTTGAATTCAATATGAAGTGTTCAATAAACCTACTAGTTAACTGAAACTGTGCGTTTAACTCAATTTTCTTTAGTTAACTGAAATTTTTCAGTTAACTGAACTTTCATTTACTGTAGTTTATTGAACTTGATGCAGTGGTAAGTTGCTACAATGGAGTCTTTTGAAATTAGTTGAATTCAAGATGAAGTGTTCATTAATGCCATTAGTTAACTGAAATTATGCATTTAACTCAACGTTCTTTAGTTAACTGGATTTTTTCAGCTAACTGAATTTTTAGTTACTATACTTTACTGAATTTTGTGCACCTTTGGAGTTCAGTTATGCAATGTTTAGTCATTACAAAGTACATATTTTGGATGCAGTGTGTGATGCAGAAAATGGAGAAAGGGTACATACTCCTTTTTTTTACACTGGAACTTGAGCATGGTGGAATTTTCTGTGGCCCAATCAATAAGCTGGAGTACTAGAACCCTCCTGTTGAGGTGCTTGACTATGTTGACTGGCACTTTCTCCTATGCATTCCTTGAGGAACACCTAATTTGGTTGGGATATCCAGTGATTGAGCACATCGTTTATTGGTGCAAACCTGATAAACCAATTTCAGATGGTTTGGTCAGAATTAGAGGTGATGAGGATTTGCAGCATATGATCAGAGCTAGTGTTGAGCATAAAATGCTTGTACTCATGGTTGACCATACAGATTTCATCAGCAACTTCAGGTCTGATTCGGTGTGCATGTTGCCCCTATCTTTGATAGTGGCCAGTGAGGGAGTCCTAGATCCGGGGGTCCTCAGGTGTCTGGCCCAGGAGTATGGGCCGGGTTGGATGGGCCATACAAGATCAAGCTGAAGATTATCCTTCGTGTCCAGATGGGACTTCTCAATACGTAGACGGCAAGAATAGAGTCCGGAAGCTTCCTTCCCTGATAAAATGACCTTGTACAAACCCTAGGCCCCTCTGGTGTGTATATAAACTGGAGGGGTTAGTCCGTAGAGGCGATCCTCTTCACCATCATTGGAATTCTCATAGGCTAGACATCTAGAGTTAGCCATTGCGATCTCGAGGTAGATCAACTCTTGTAATCTTCATACTCGTCGAATATAATCAAGCAGGAGTAGGGTTTTACCTTCCTTAAGAGGGCCTTAATCTGGGTAAACGCTGTGTCACCTGGTCTCCTGTTAGCATTGATCCTTAGACGCATAGCTTGGGCCCCGTACCCAAGATCTGCCGGTTTTGACACCGACATCGGTGCTTTCATTGAGAGCTCTGCCGTGCTGTCTGCAAAAAGCGATCTATGGCTCGCCTACTCATAAACAACAATATCACTTCTAGAGGGTGCTAGATTCGGGGCAAACCCTCCAGTTTGGTGGTTTCACCATAAGGGCCCGCGCGGTCATCGAGCCCGCAACTCCCCCCATGGCCGTCGGACACCGTTCCCGCATTGGCCCTAAGTACTCCGAGAAATTGGATCCGGTGGATGTTTCGTCTTTAAACGAACTGCTAGACCGCATCACCGCCCTGGGGGTCTCAACGGACTATGATCAGATCAGGCTCAAGCCCGACCAGAGGGAAATTAGTCACCCAACGATCACCCACTTCGTGGCGGTCATTGAGGAACCGACCGCAGACACTTCCCTCCCCATATTGAGAACCAAGTATGTTCGGGGTCCCTGAATCCCCTGAGCCAGATGCTTCCCCTCCGGACGGGACCTTATGCTCTCCGGACTCTGGTTCAAGTGTAGGATTGCCGGAGCCTTTGCGCTTAACCGGACCCAAACCAGTCACTTCGGAAACCATTCTGGCTCCTAACACAAATGTGGGACATGATCCAAAATTTAATCCACCCGCCCACCACAATCTATATTCTCCAAGCAACTCAGGTCTCCAGATATATACGACCTGATGTATGTGCGGCAACAGCCTCAGGAAATGGTCCACCACTTTTGGGACAAATTCCTCCTTGTTAAAAACAGGATCAAAGACTGCTCAGATGACGACGTAGTTTCGGTTTTCCACCGGAACTGCACCGACGAAGGAATATTGAATGCCCTCGACCGTCGCCACATACAAAGTTTCACGGAATTATCACACATAGTACAAAAGTATTGTGCGATGGAAAGCACATGGAGGACCCATAAAACTCAACTGGAGCCCGATGCCTCGACGCAGTGTGCGGCCCAGGCCAAACGAATACATCCTGGCAGGTCACCCGACCACCAGTCTATGGGCAGGAAGAACAAACCCTTCATGGGACATAGGTCCGTTCTTGACGAACTATTGGACAAGCCCTGTCCGATTCACGCCACTCCGCACACAGTCCCAACCCATAGCCCCCGAGCATGGTGGGTACTCCGACAAGTAGCAA